TAATGTTTATCTTTAAAAAATGATTTTTTTTTCCACACGTAAAATTTCCATGTTACTTATTTAGCTAATATAATTTATTTGTAATGATGAATTCTTATTGATTCACTGATCATTAACTGTTGTGCGATTTAAGCTCCACCTATGATTGAAAATATAATCGTTTTAAATGAAAATACTATTTCAATTTTAGATATATTATGTATTATCAAAACTTTTCAATCGACTGACATGCATGATTTCAACAACTGTTTGTTAAGCACAAAGCTACATCATAGATTACCTGTGCTGTGCCCACCAGGGGATCAAACCCAACATTAGAAGCACACAAGTTTACAGCTGAGCTACAGAAAGGGCATTAGTTTATTCTGTTTTTTACCCACCAGGGGATCAAACCCAACATTAGAAGCACACAAGTTTACAGCTGAGCTACAGAAAGGGCATTAGTTTATTCTGTTTTTTACCCACCAGGGGATCAAACCCAACATTAGAAGCACACAAGTTTACAGCTGTGCTACAGAAAGGGCATTAGTTTATTCTGTTTTTTACCCACCAGGGGATCAAACCCAACATTAGAAGCACACAAGTTTACAGCTGTGCTACAGAAAGGGCATTAGTTTATTCTGTTTTTTACCACCAGGGATCAAACCCAACATTAGAAGCACACAAGTTTACAGCTGTGCTACAGAAAGGGCATTAGTTTATTCTGTTTTTTACCCACCAGGGGATCAAACCCAACATTAGAAGCACACAAGTTTACAGCTGTGCTACAGAAAGGGCATTAGTTTATTCTGTTTTTTGTGAGACAAATATATTTATTTATGATTACATTCGTTTTTAGTCAAGTTGCTCTAACAACATATATTAGCAGAACGAAGTGTATACATAATCCACATACTCGCATGTATGAGTAAGGAATTTATATAGTGTTTACTTATGTCGACACACGGGATTACGCATAGCGTACAGACTCTAAAGATCCGTACTTTTTAATTTGCTCTCCAAAGCGATTCTGCCTTGATGGAAAAATATTTTGTGACGTCTTAGCTTCCGACAAAAGCATTATGTTTTGTGTGATTTGAAGAATATGTAGCATTGATGCTACTAACATATTTTTCTAAATTATTCAGCAGACAAGCAGATAAGATGTAACATTTTATATGAAATGTATCTCTCAACATTCAGAAAAAAAACAACTTATTCCTTGAGAGATTGGGAATCTATCAAGGTCACAGCTGCCACCGAGAGTAGGATAACATGCTGAAATCCCTCTGCAGAATTAGCTCAAAAAATAGGTTTTGTGAAACCCGTATCATCATCATCATCATCGCAGTAGCAAGAGAGAAAAACGGGATGTAAAGATCCACTACTGATGAATGTGTGGCGTGGATTCGGAGATCCATGCCAAATAATTTGTTGTGAAGAAAAAAAAAAAAAACACTTTCACTGTCCGGGCGCCAAAACTTCTATTCGACCACTGCCCAAGCTGGAACTAGAACTTGGAGAAAAACAGCATTATAATTTATATTTATATAATATTTATAAAAATGCCTCAACGGTGAAACAGAGCCGGAGAAAGTGGAAGAGATGGTGCATAATGTTTGGATTTTTTTCGTTGTTGTTGAACTCGATAACTGAGGGTTCAGACTTTTTAACTAAGTTGGTTTGAGTTTGTTCGCTTGTGGTTATTGTGGTTGTCTAGACTTGATGAACACATGTATAAACTTCTGTTGTGGACATTCCTTCAGCTGGGGGTCTGAGTTTGTGGATCAAGGGTTTGGCTAATCTGTATTTTGGATTTGCAAGAGGCAAGATCTGGTGTGGAATGAAAGGTATGATTTTTAGAAGCTCGGTGTTCTTTTTCGCGTCTGCAGTGGAAGTATTCGAAGAAACAGTTGCCTTGTTGGAGTGTTCAGTTAGCTGACGAGAACTTACCACTACTTTGATAAAAAATAGAATCCTGCAAAACTGGAAAGATGTGAGCCTGTGGACATTGTGGATAGATCATCTTGTTCAATTTCCTGAGTAGTGACAGGAAGATCGTTGTTTCGCTGGAAGATACTGTATCTGGTAGTTCTGCTTACAGGGGTTGGGGGTAGGGTGGGGGTGACAGTTTTCTTCCATTTATGAATTCCATGTAAAAAGATAGGTAAATGGAATCTGCAGGTGTTAATGATTGAACAAAAACTCTAACAATGACTAATTATTCGTGCTTTACCTACTTGTAGTTTAGCGGGTTGTATGTGGAATTCAATGAAGTTACAAGTTTGTCGTAAGGAGCATGAAGTTGGCAGATCACCCTTAACGATAGGGTACATCATGCCGGCGTGAGGTCAGTTTTGTCTGTGTGTCTCGCTGTGTAAACTGCGTTCTAATAGTTTTTTTTTACTCGTGTAGAGGATTGAACTGATTCAGGTGGCCTACTCAAATTGAATGTTGAGCGCGGACCTCTTAATGAACTCGAGTCCGCAGTTGTATTAACAAATGAAATTATGAAGTGGGTTTTCTAATATCAATTTAGAGTTAAACTGGTTTTATAATTCTTCATGATATTCGACTCATTTCCCCAGAAATATAAATTCAATAACATCAGACTTGGAAAAATTCAACTTTTCCTAAAGCCCCCTTTTTTTTAGTTTCCAGGTTGATAAAGTTTATCCTAGTAATGGCAGAAACATTTCAAACTTTTTAAATTCTAATCTTCCCACTTCGAGTTCTTGTTACTCAAGCCTTTAGAAGAACATTTTTTACACGAATAAGAATTATTTATAAAACAGGATTTCTAATAAGTATAATCATGGAAAACTTTTACACTCCAATTTCTAATCGAATTAAAAATGATAATTCTCACGTAAATAGCTGGCGTGGAAAAAAAATATTCGTTTTTCAGAATATTTAAATGCTGTTTAGACAACGCAGGTAAAATAACTAATAATGTTTTATACGGTATAAAATACAAAAAGTGTTTCTTCCGTTACTAAGTTTTAAATATGATCAATTCAGAAGTGTTCTCTTTATATAGCATTCTTATTTTTTTTCCATTAGCATTATTCAGATGTTCTCACGCCAAGAATTTTGAGCAGAGCTGTTTTCCTATGATTGTTAATGGTATCTTTGTTTAATAAAAATATTTTCTTATAGCTATTAAAGTTCTCAGCGATGCAGAAGATGAGATTCTGTAACTTAAAATGTTTATTTCGTCTTCTAAGTCCACTAGAGGACACACGGATAAATTTACCCAACTATGTAGGTTTAAACATCCAGATGTTCTTTACACTAATGATGGTATTGAACATAATGAAAATATCTATTTAGTACAGTGCTAACTAGTCAATTTATGGAAGATTTGGATCCAAGCCAAAACAGTGGCATGATAGGCCTCAAAGGTTAAAAGATAAGTGGGTGAACTTCGACTGAACCATTGGTTTGGGTCGAAGCCAAAACAGTGGTATGATAGGCCTCAAAGGTTAAAAGATAAGTGGGTGAACTTCGACTGAACCATTGGTTTGGGTCCAAGCCAAACAGTGGCATGATAGGCCTCAAAGGTTAAAAGATAAGTGGTTGAACTTCGACTGAACCATTGGTTTGGGTCCAAGCCAAACAGTGGTATGATAGGCATCAAAGGTTAAAAGATAAATGGGCGAACTTCGACTGAACCATTGGTTTGGGTCCAAGCCAAACAGTGGCATGATAGGCCTCAAAGGTTAAAAGATAAATGGGTGAACTTCGATTGAACCATTGGTTTAAACTCATATGTTTTACCGGGATAATATAAATACAACATCATTTGGCTTCCTACCCACAAATTTGATTGATTATGTAGTTGATATGGCCTTAATACTGGAGTAGGAAACTTAAAAAGATATACACATGAATTATTACTTGTCAGTATTGGTCAATAATTACCAAGTGCATCAAGTGATATATTAATGGATCTATGAAAAATTTAAACCTGAAAACCTAAAACCAATGTTCCCTCCTTTTTTTTGGAGGCGGAAGTTTGAAATATAAAAAAGTTTAAAGGCATCACAGTATTCAATGAAACAAAATGATAAATTTCCTGGATCAACGTGAAACTGATTTTGACCTGGATCCAACCGATCAACTAACTAAAAAAAATCTTTATACAAAGCAGCTAATTTGACCAAAACGTGATTTTTTTCACCAATACGCGTGAATGTGAGATTAGGCTCAGATGTGTGAATTCCACGCTCAATATGTGATTATTTTTGGCTATGTGACTTGCCAGAACTTTCTTTAGCTAAGAGGGTAGAGAGAGGTAGAGAATTCGACACATACCAAAATGATAGATAACAACCCAGCTAGTGGTCACCCAAGACGCTGAAACTAGGGCTTGGTTGAAGAGAGGGGCTGGATGTAAAAGTTTGAGTTGCTACATCAGTTAAATCTATTTAATCCTGTTTTTATTTTACTCAGTTTTGGCACATCTCAATTTTTGAGATTAAAATAGACACTCTTTTATATTTTCAAGATTTTAATGACATTTGGGAGACTGTTGAAGTATATGATCGTTGGTTAAATGTCACTCTTAATAAAAGGTTCTTGAATCTACATCCATAATTATAATGCATCCATGAAAAATTAAGATGAAAAATAATAATAACTGTTAAATATTAAAACAACAACAAAAAAAAAACAAAAAAAAAACAGAACTAGCGTTTTTCGTATTTTTGGGGCAGTGACAACAGCTTAAAAGTTGAGTTTATATTTATTAGGCATAACTCTTTACTTACATTTGACTTAAATGTATGTTAATTAGGCTTAAATTTATAATTATATTTGACTTAAGTGAATATTCATTAGGCTTAACTTTCTACTTTGACTTAAGTGAATATTCATTAGGCTTAACTTTCTACTTTGACTTAAGTGAATATTCATTAGGCTTTACTTTCTACTTTGATTTAAGTGAATATTCATTAGGCTTAACTTTCTATTTACATTTGATTTGAAGATATATTAGTTAGGCTTAGCTTTCTACTTACATTTGACTTCAATTCGTATAGTAGTAAGAGCTGGCTGTTTCAAGGCTGAGTTTTCTGATCGACAGGTGAAATTCTTCATGTGGTGTTTTCGTGTTGGTTTAAAATCCCACTTCAATATGGCATTGGCTCGTTTCCCATCACTGAGTTCTCGTGTCTGATACTTAGTACCGCTTGTCACAACATCTCCTTCTCCATCAAGCCAGGAAAGCTGTTCAAACAGATAAACCAATGGATTTTAAACATTCGGCAAAAGGCTACCGCCAGTGTCACAATGCCCATTTTAAATTATTCTATTCTGAACATCGGAGCACAATCAGTAATCATGGATATATAAAATAGCGACCAATACAACACAATAAAAAGCACACCTGGTATTTCTCAGGTTGTTAAATAACTACTCTAAATGTACACTCTTTTGTAAGAACAGTGACAGTGTTAAATTGGTGTGTTTGCACAAGAAGAATGAAGTATGGATTAAATCTCGACGTGTTTTTGCCATACAAAGAATTATTCCACGTTCTTAAACATTTTGTACATATATATATATATTGTTTGTCTCCGGTGGCTCATCGGTAAGCGTGAAATATTATAACACTACAGACTTCGAGATTCGATCCCAGCGGCTAGAACAACGATGACAGCTAACTGTACAACTTTGCGATGTAACAAACAAAACTAGTTATTGTCACACAACAGTTGAATTCCACATTACTGATCTATTCCTTGATGATTTGTATCAACGAACTTAGCGTTTAAAATTTACAGTTTAGAAACATGCGACAGAACTGAGATTAGAATAAACATGTTACGAAACTAAGAAAAACCAACGGTAAAACTTCAACACAGATTGCTGTTAGAAATTATAGTATTATGGTATTTTTGGCACTTGTGTATAAAATTAAAATCATAAATAATATTCAACGTTAAACTGTACACAGTTAAAAACATTTTATTTAGGCCTATCTATGGCCTTCAAAAAGTTGACGACTCTACACGTTTCGACATTACAATGTCATCCTCAGGAGTTGCTGTTAGCAAGTTATAAATAATTATTTCGACTTATTCTGGATACCATCAACGTTTAAAATTTCCACTCTCTCTCCAATCAACATAGCGATTCAACGGAGAAGGTTACATAGAAAAACAGTTATTTTCGTTGTTCAACCCAATGGGCTGCCTGAGCTATGCCAATCACAGTGATAAAATATCGAAATTTAGCGTTATAAGCCCCTGGGTTTACTCCGAACCACTGCGGGAACTTTATGTCTTTATGTAACCATTTGCTTCAAGATTTGTTCCATATACATTGATCAACTTTTGTTCCACATACATTGATCAACTTTTGTTCCATATACATTGATCAATATTGATCAATGTATATGGAACAAAAGTTGATCAATGTATGTGGAACAAAAGTTGATCAATGTATGTGGAACAAAAGTTGATCAATGTATATGGAACAAATATTGATCAATGTATATGGAACAAATATTGATCAATGTATATGGAACAAAAGTTGATCAATGTATGTGGAACAAAAGTTGATCAATGTATATGGAACAAAAGTTGATCAATGTATATGGAACAAAAGTTGATCAATGTATATGGAACAAATCTTGATCAATGTATATGGAACAAATATTGATCAATGTATGTGGAACAAAAGTTTGTTCCACATACATTGATCAACTTTTGTTCCATATACATTGATCAATATTTGTTCCATATACATTGATCAACATTTGTTCCATACACATTCATCAACACTTGTTCCATATACATTGATCAGAAATTTCTTGGTCACTAGAAAGCGCAGCAGATTCAATATTTGTAACGCGAAAATATCTTGGTGTAGCCCCCAAAACGGAAATATCTTGGTGTAGCCACCAAAACGGAAATATTGAACGTTTCTCCTGCAAACGTAGAAATAATTCTATTTTACCACTTAACGGACTATGAGGTAATCAAAACACCATATTGATAGATAGTGAACACCTACCACGTGTTTTATAAATCATTGAAAGTTGGCATATTTCTACGTATCTTTTCCTTTCTGCCTTAACGTTCTTGTTTCAGACCTAAACTTTATTAGGGTAGGAAAAATAAGAAACAATTGTATTTTTTAGGGAAAACTGAGCTATCAGGAGTATTATTTGAACGATATCACATATAGGAACATTTCATTATTTATTGCATAGTAAATGACACACATAGTTTATCAAAATTGATTTATTGTGAAATCTGGAGGGATTTGGGCATTTTGTTAAAAGTTAGAAAAAACAAATACCTATACTCTTCAAATAATATTTATTATTATTATTATCTGGAGCGCCATCTGTCTATAATGTATGTATGTACAGATCAGTAATGCTGATAATGCACAGTTTATAAGCTTTATATATATCCAAGTTAATTTTACCGAGTGATTTCTCTACGCGAAACAACGTCTGCTTGTTGTCGTTCAAACAGAAGCGTGAACGGTGGTTCGATATTGAATACAGACATGGGACAGAGAATGCATCATAATTCCGTGTATTAGACCAGTACAAATCTATAGATCCTCGACAATCTGTCAATGAAACTGCTTACTCGCCCAACTGACAATGTCAAGTCGACTGGTAAATGGAACAACATGGTCTACACCAGCTGATCTTGGCATCTTGAAATGGCGTCTAGCTATTTAAATTATTTCTTTAAGCTTTAGATATCTGTACTCAATCATATGAAAACCCATCAAGACTTGAATTTTCTAAAGCACGTGTCTAAACTGTCAAGGATGTGTTGAGTTGCATCTAAAACCTTCTAAGTAACTGCGCAGAATGGGAGGTTCTGATTGGAGGAAAGGAAAGGGAGTGCTGTTCCTGTGATATGTTGCCCGGGAAATCTTGTGCGAGGAAAATGTAATCACTCAGATGTTGGTACCTGTCTATGAAGTGATTGTTGACTTTGGTATTGCTATGATTGCTACTGGGACTTCTAGTAAGACTTCTTTTGATAAATCGGTTACGCGTGACGCTAATCGATCGGAAAGGCCTCAAAGCCATCCAACTATAACACCAATAATACTGGAGTGTAGCAAAGCAGAGCGAAAGTTTTATCTGGTTGTTCAAAAACTGACATGCCTAACTAGCGTTCCTCATGGGATTTGGTTAAAGATTTCCTTTCTTTTAAAATAAATAATTGCTGAATGATTCAGAATGACTTCATGAAGTACTTCTAATACAAGGAATCAACACTGTGTTATAGGCAACGTTCAGCATAATAAGTATTCAACTTGATTACAAAATCCATGAGCTATCCAAACAATAAAACAAACAAATTTGGATGAACTATTCTAAAAAATAAAACAAATTCATGGACTATCCTAACAATAAAACAAAATCATAAATTATCATAACAATAAAAGAAATTCATGAACCATCCGAACAATAAAACATATCCTTAAAGTATTCTAACAATAAAAGAAATTCATGAACCATCTAACAATAAAAGAAATTCACGAACTATCCTAACAATAAAAGAAATTCTTGAACTATTCTAACAATAAAAGAAATTCTTGAATTATCCTAACAATAAAAGAAATTCTTGAACTATCCTAACAATAAAAGAAATTCTTGAACTATAGTAACAATAAAAGAAATTCATGAACTATACTAACAATAAAAGAAATTATTGAATTATCATAACAATAAAAGAAATTCTTGAACTATCCTAACAATAAAAGAAATTCTTGAACTATCCTAACAATAAAAGAAATTACATGAACTATCCTACAATAAAGAAATTCTTGAACTATCCTAAACAAAGTAA